CATCTGGCAGGATAGTGGCCCATGCGAATAGTTGACGAGGGACTTTGCTCTTGTAGACTTGCAGGAAAGACTCATCATCCGTTGAAGGTACTTCGCAGTCGCAGTCTAGCTGGCTTTCACTGTCCAAGTCGTCGTCGCTGAGTAGCCAATGCGTCTTCAGATGCAGTAGTCCTAATCCCGGGCAATGTCTATGGATCCATTTTTTTTTGAACATCGGATGAACGCCATGACAAATTCAGCTGGCATTTAAGGGTCTTTGCCTGTGTTGACCACTGAAGAGTAAGGGCTGGGGTTCGATTCGCGTTATTTGAACGCATCCGCTGCCACCAATGTAGAATACCCGAGCCCTAATAGGTAAAAGACCGGTACAACAGGACAGGCTTTATTGACCAATCAGAAGCCAGAGCCACGCGTCAGGCGCCTTCCATCCGAGTCCACCACGCTGGCTACGCCGCTCATTATATACTGCATCTCATCCATGTCATTCTCTAGTTGGCTGCCTTCCTTTCCCGCATGCCATTGGACCGCAGAGAGACACGCGATTGGCTGAGGCCAGGTGGTCCAACATGTCTGCGCCCTAATCCGACGCCACACCACACCACACTACAATACGTCGCCGCCTTGGGATGCGTCGGGGCCTACATTACATTTGCGGTGATGGAGTATACAGATTCAGTGGAGCTATTAGCGCTGCACCATTCCGCACAAGGTTCGGGTTGGTGAAAATTTTCGGCGTTGTTATGCCTTTCCTCTTCTCTGGTGCTTACTTGAGCAAATGGGGCGCCAAATTCCTTGAAGATAATGAAATCTTTGTTCCAGAAGACGAGTAACATTTAAACTTACACTTGCTAGAACTGATTTTTTCCTGAAGATATCCCGTTGTTGCAGCTTCGTCCCACTTTCCATCCTAGCCGGTTGTGCACCATTGCTTATGCACTTTTTGGTCGCCCTTTACTACCTCGGCCCTAATATGGTATACTGCTCCAGATGGTTTTTTCAGTAAAACGTTTTTTGGAGAAGGGATGGTTAATATCTGTCCTTGTATGCGTTACTTCATTTGCTAATCTGCGTGACGTCAAACGTTTCCGCAATTTGCTGGGTACTCACTATGCCTACTGTTGCTTGTAGCGCCTTGTCGTTTTGCTCCATATACATGGTCTCGAAATCCTTTAATCTTACCTTCTGCTAAGAGTTATCTCCTACTATGGTTTATGGTTAACACGAAGTCAAAATAAGCGCTTTTTGAAAACCATTACAACCGCGGTGTCGCGCTGATACTGCTTCACCGCAGTGACTACATGTAGTGGAAACGAGAAAAGCACCAAAACTTTAAACTTCTCCGGTATCGCACACGACTAAAATCTGAGGCATCCCATGGAGGTTCGAGCCGCATTTGTCGGGCCTGCCAAAAAGTCGAGTGTACCTATAGCTCCATAATCTCTCTACCGGATGTCAGGAATTTCCGGCCCACAGGGCGCTTCTGTTTTAGTTTAATGCGTCATTATCAGGTAAAGATAGCGTCCAGGAATCTTGTGTTGCCTGTAAGAGGATCGGTGGTTCCGGTCTAGTATCAAAATCAAGCGGCACGTAAAAAAACGTGAACGCAGTGTTGGCTAAAGAGGGTATCACCGGAGTTGGTCTAGTATGCTATTTGTCGTATAGACGAGGCTGTTTTCGTGGTTGAATACGCCTCTCAAGAAGGCGAAACTTGAGTCCGCTATCAGCACCACTATACCTCAGGGCATGTACTCACTTCACCACTTAGATTTCTACCGGGAACGGAACGGTTCAGGACAACAGACGATGGTAGATCGTTACTTGCGTAATACATTACAAAGATGAAGCACCGTTTTGAACATCAAGAAGAGCACAACGGAAAACAGCCAAGTGGCTCAAATAAGGACATAAGCAAATTCAAATATTGACTGAAAAAGGAAAAGCGTGTAAAGTAATCAAAAAAATCGCTGAGGGAATGCAGCCAGAATTATTCCAGATGATGAGATTGTTCTACTTTCCATGCGCCAAGGGCATAACGCAGGCGTATTAGAAGCAGATCTTTTCCCATCTGGAACCACGAGAAAAAAGGGATTATTTTGGAACCTGAAAGTAGAGAACGGGAATATTAGGCGAGGTAAACACCGGAAATGAACGAGAAACACATGAAAGTAGCCTGACAAAGTTAATGGACAAATAGCGAGACTGTACATACCTCGGTAAATCCAAGAGCAAAAATATTAAGAATTTGGTTAAATTATGGCCAAATCGAGATTTCTCAGTAAAAGGTATTTCGTCAAATTGACGGATAATGCAAACATTGCGATTGTCACAAAGTGGGTCTGGCCCTCGCTACGACGTACCGTCAACTTCATGCCAGTTTACTGGGACCTCACAAATATCGACAGAAAGAAGTCGAGCCAGGTAAAGCAGTTCCACGTCAAATGCCCAACGTTCAACGTGTTGATTAAAGAAGAGCAAGCGTGCTGCCTGGCGACTAAATAGCTTAAAACCGCACTGCGTATCCTTGATGCCACGAACACATAAAAGCCAAACTGCAAAGTGGAAACCGTGCATGAGCAAATTTCGCAGCGGATTTCGTTTGGCTGTTGCCTTTTCCTGTAGGTGTGCCCGAGATCCACAGATAACGGCCATTCTCCCATCCTAAGTTATTTGAAAAATTATCTTGTAGAGCGTTTGCATATGAGAGTAAATAAAGATTCCAATATTAAAAAAGGAAGAACAACCTACCCACTTCGAGACAATCATTGATGTCATTACCCTTTCCAAAGTTTCGATATCTTGAAAACGCGTAGCCCCATCAGCATCGGCAAACATTAGATATTTCCCTCTGCCTGACAGTATACCCTAAGTAAAAAGCATTTTAAAAAATTTCAGGTTTGAAAAATACATTACAACTATCAGAACTTACAATTCGGACAGCGGCACCCTTGCCTCGGTTTCGCTTGAGTTTAAGAACTCTAACCAAATCGGATGAATACTTCTCAGTATAGGAAAGCGCAACCTAAATTGTATTCTGTAAAAAATAAGGTTGCCCTGCCTGGTACGTATCATCTGTACTGCCATCATCAACAATAACTATTTCAAAAGAAAATTTTGGTTGGGAGTCTTTGCGCTTTATTAGATACGTAAGAGTCTCTTCTAGCATCTTGGGAACTACATTGTAAACTTGCAAAATATGGAAATATTACGGCGTTTGGATTCATTATAAGCAGGGATGACGACAGAAAGTTCGACTTCGGGTTTCTGGGTCAGACCGAACGGAAACTTCACATACTCCGACTTCTTTGGGTCAAAAAACACCCTTTCGGTCAATTCTCTTTCGATGTCAGGATATGGGTTCGTTGACAAATACAGAAAAATCAGAGACTAATTTTTAGTTTCATATATAGGGACATACAAAAAACGCGATCATAACAATGACTGTAGCGAAAGACACCAGTAAGAGTAGCCACAACTCCATCCCCATTTTTGTTCCAGTTCTCAAGTTCAATGGGAGCGCCGAAACGTAGGGCGTACGAAAAACCAACCCTGAACGTAGCCAATGATCAGGGTTAATTTTGTCCAGTAAAAAATTTAGGGGAAACCGTTAACAGTTCAAACGTTGGTTGAAGGCAAAAATATTTTATTCACGGTTTCGAAACATTCATTGAGTTAATGTTCGAAATTATACCGATTTCTATTCTGGTCTCGTTGGGACAATACATTAAAATTTCAGCTTTATTATCGTTTCCTAAAAACCCTTAAATTACACTAAGGGCTTAAAAACATGAGAGAGAAACAAAACTACCAACAAAAAAACTTTAGTACTGTCGTCTTCCAAAGAAGCAACCCTAATAAATAGGGTAATGCAAAATTCCTCACATTTTTAAGCACAAAAGTACAAAATCTTTGTTCTCTATACTATCACATAAATTAAATTGACGTAGAATGTTTGATAATAAGTACAGCCTGAACAGTATTAGGCACTATGAAAAAGTATTGATGACATTATACTGATTTTCGATTTCTTAGGTATTTAATATTTTAACATTTAAATGTCTGTGGTGACCGGTTAACATTACATAAAATTCAGGTAATCTTGCAAGCAATAGCGGTTTTTGCCATTCAGATTAGACCACCATAATTTGCTTGGTATTTCTGCAATAAAATAATGCAAATGGAGACATTGACATTAAAAATGAAATACAACATTTGCAGAAATATTTAAATATATTGAACAGTATCCAATTAATTTTTTCAGGAAAGGTGCAAAACCAACTAACTCGGTAGTTACAAAGGGCTATTAAGCAAATTTTATTATGCCGTGATTGTCGAGTAGCAGCAGACGTAATGTTCCAGTGAAGGCTATTGAGGTGAAACCTTGGCATATTTTTACACTATTTTGAGCCGTCATTATTTGGACTTGTGAGATAACAAGGCGTAACTCATAAATATAAATGAGGGCAATTAGGTTATAGCATGTGCGTTGCCTTAGTGATGGTGGCAGGTAATATACGTATGTTGGGAAATTATGAAGCAAGCGCCTAGAGGAATGAGGTATCATAGTATTTTTTTGATGCTTCTCATCGAATCAACTGAACCATTCATCTCTTGTACCTTCAAGCAGGCTACGTGATATAGGTGAAAAGTAGAAAACAAACACGACATTTTCCCTTATTATCCATTCAATACGCAATCCCAGTACATGTTGGTGGTCGTCAATGCAGTAGCTTGATCTCTGTGTAATTGAAATTAAATTGACAAGCGTCAAAATGATGCAGCAGAAAAAGAGCAGAGGATGGAGATAGTGTAGTTGGTATGAAAGAAGCATAGTATGCATCCGTATTTGGCTTCAAGACTTTTATATGCTAGGCCAGCACTGAAATCAGGAAATAGTTTCTTTTGCAATATTCAGAGTGTCAGTTAATTAGCCTGCATCGATTCTTTGATGGTGCCGGTCGACAAGTAAAATTTGACATAGTCAAGCAGTGGGCTCACATAGTGCTAGAGGGTCGTCTCTGATAACCTCCATGTCATCAAGCAATGACGAATAATCCAGTGAAATGCTCTATTCTGGTAGCCTATTTGGCGTCAACATTGTCGATGAGTTACAGTCTGTGGACATTCCTGTTGAAGTTCGCTTGCTGTGATAATGTCATCGATATGCGAAAACGCCAAAAGTTAGTTGAATGGAAAAATTTGTATGCAGTGGGGTTGGTATGTGCAAGGAAGTTACAAAATCAATTTATATCATGGGACTTAGAGTCAAAGAAGAAAGTTGCGAAATGACTGTGAACGCTTTCTTACAGGCAAATGACAGGCTGACGAGGCCTCCGTGACAAATTGGATTTGATCAGCGCGGCGAACAACGGCATTACACCAGACCAATATGTTTCATCCCAAGTTGATGCATTTGCCAACTGGTTATTGGAATGAAGATGTAGCAATTCAAGATTGCCACTTTTAAGTTGCAGTAGCGTGAAGGTAAACTACGGAACTAAAACCTCAGAGGGAAGAACGCAATTTGAATCAGGGATTTGTTGATAATGTAGTCACAAAATTGGCTTCCATATTGTGGTATTTTGTGTTTACATTTATGCAGATGCAACTTAAACCTAGAAGCTGAACTAGCAAAAGTCTATGAGTGGACTTCTGACCCTGGGGCATCAAAGAGAAGCAAGATGATTGTAGCGTGAGCACTTCACTCATGGTTAGGTGAAGACGCTCAAATTATTGCAAACACATTTTATGCCCGGTGTGAACCACCATAAGTTGCCTTCATAATGGCCAGTCAGCCCGCGGCACCTCACCACAACTTAACACACTGCACTTGCAGCTCTCGATGCACACTTGTGCAAAAATTTAGGTCGAAAGTGATGGTTTGAAAAGTTACATCAATCTAACTTGGTGCCCCTGAAAACTGCCATGTATGTGTTCATTGTATTGCGATGATGCCTTAATCACACTGATCCTATCGACAACTTGGTGTGCGCGTAATTGATGACAATATCTATGTCTTTGGAAAAGATGTGCCAGACCAGTTAAAAGGGCCAAATGAGGGCACAGATTATGCTATCACCGATATATGTGAAGACGCAAATGTCACTTCTTCCTCGGTTCGCACACTGCATTTGTGAGTTTAACTTCGCCAAAGTGGCGTGTTTATCTCAAATTAAAGCTCCTCAACAAGCAATCCAACGAACACAATGGTTAAAATATGGGTGAAATGGAAGTGGAAATTGACGAAATAGCTGCTAACCTGATGTACTGTTGACTTTAGTGCAAAAACAATCACGACTAGAATATAACGTGAATAGCTGAGAATTTAGTAGATGTGTAGAACTCTATCTTGAACGGCAACTGCGCCTAGGATGTCTAGCCTCGAACGTGAATTAACACTTGAACACATGCCTTGCTATTCATGAGATAAGATCTAACTAGTGGGTCCAACAATGGATGTTGATAGGTTGTCAAAAGGTGCAGACTGAATGTGCGTGCGTGATTAAAAATGATGGCTTGAGATACCGGTCATAAAGCATGTTAGAAATTAGACTCTAATCCCAAAAAGTCATCTTGAGTGTCCATATTTGAAACACGACGAATTCACATTTCTATAATAGGCGCCATCCAGTCTGAGAGCCCGCATCCTTCACCTACATGTAAATGAATACTAAAAAATGTTAAAACGAGGTACATATTACCTGCGTAAAATTAGGAAACTGTGATACATTGGGGTGAAGTGAATAAAAAAATGTGGAAAACATTTGAAAAACCGAAATCGTGGATGAACACTAGAGTAAATTATAGATGACTTCAACAGTTAAATATGTGAAAAACGTTGCGATTTGTCGGGTCATGGATGCAAGGCTCCCAGTGCAAAAACCGAATCTCCTCGTTTAGTACATCAATGGCTTCCCCACAATAGCACAGAAACCAAACACGAATAAATCACTGCCTCCTCAAACTAGGCCAAGGAAAGGCCTCGTGTAGAAAGTTTTTACGTTCTCAGTCAAGGCCCGAGTGTGGGTTAAGACGCGCCACATATGTTGGCGTGGGCAGCCTTGTGTGAATGTTAGGCTAATGGTACGCTCAAAGATGAAGGACCAATGGGAAATGAATGGCCAGCATGAATACAATAATTGGTGTACATCAACACGAATGATAATAAAAAATGAAAAGACTACCAAATCTTGAGAAATATATTCTTGAGATGCTCAATCCCTAGCACTTCTCCACTCCAACGAAGTCAATGGGCCTCTTCGTTGAGTTGACCTGGAGTAGTGCCTTTTGTCGTCGTCGTCGACTGCTCCGTGTTGGGGGTGATGGCCGGTCCATCATTATTTGGTCTCTGTCCAGTTGTTCTCGGAAGCCTGTCATTGTCTATTAACCATCATTGCTTTTTACACTTTAGTGTTGGAAATACAGCCTCTGGGGAGTCCGCATTGGAAGTCCGCATTGTGTTTTGGTGATTTGCTGGTAACTTGTTCAATAAAAATGCAACTCTGCCAAAATATATATCGGAAAGAGATAAATGCACATTATAAACGTCTCGTGATTTGAATGGCCACTGGTAGTTCTGAGTCACCGACATCTAGGTTGCACTGGAAGGCTGACGGTCGTAAGGTTTGCCGCAGTGCCCAGAGCGATGTAAGCTGTTTAACCCGTCATCCGTGTGCACCGATACCTCACGATAACAAACCAATTCGTAAATCAAAATGTGTTAGCAGTAAACAGTTGTGCTCTTTGCTTACAAGACCTCCACACTGCGGACG